AAAAAAAAAAAAAGAAAAAAATATCTGAGACTATTTGTGCTTCAAAATAAATAATAGCAATAGATGGCTAAACACAGTGGCTCATGCCTGTAATCCCAGCACTTAGGGAGGCCGTGGAGGGAGGATTGCTTGAACCCAAGTGTTTGAGACTGACCTAGGCAACATAATGAGACTGCATCTCTACAAAAACAAAAAATTAGCCAGGTGTGGTGGTACATGCCTGTATTCCCAGCTACTTGGGACGCTAAGGCAGGAGATTCACCTGAGCCCAGGAGTTTGAGGCTGTGGTGAGCTGTGATCATGCCACTGCACTCTAACCTGGGTGATAGAGTGAGACTACCACACACACACACACACACAAGACAAACAAAAAGAAAAAACCCTAGCAATAGATTGTACCCCACAGAATAAGATAGAAACCCAGGAACCATGTTAATATAAAGAAACAAATCGTGGAGACAGGACAGCTCTTCCCTATAGTAAGATGCCAACCAATACATGCAGAAGACATGATAGGGTTAGAAAAATCACCATCTGGGAATTACTCAAACAATGACAGATTTGGGAGGAAATCATTAATAGATTCTCAAACTAGTGGGCAAAACTGATTACCGTGGCTCACACCTGTAATCCCAGCGCTTTGGGAGGTGGAGGCAAGAGGATTGCCTGAGCCCAGAGGTTCGAGACCAGCCTGGGCAACTTGTCGAGACCTCAGCCCTACAATTAAAAAAAAATTTCCTGGGCGTGGTGGTGTGTGCTTGTATTTCCAGCTACTTGGGAAGCTGAGGCAGAAGGATCACCTGAGCACAGCTGGTGAGGCTGCAGTGACCATGAGCGTGGGACCACACTCCAGCAACAGAGTGAGACTTAGACTCAAAAAAGAAAAAGAAAAATAAAACTAGTGGGTGAAAGTCTGAAGAAACAGTATATTTACATAGTCTTGGTGAATCTCCCCAAGCATACTATTACAAGGGAAAAAAGGCAACTTTACAGTGGAGAAAACTATCTTACTCCACCTTAACCAAATGATCAAAGCTAATATCACTAGTAATGGGATAAACCGACATCATGTGCTTCCTGATGCCATGCACTGAGGACACAACATCACTTCTGTGGTATTCTTGCCCAAAATGCATGACCTGGACACCTGAAACCCGACAGAAGCACATTCTAGAAAAGGACTTTACTCTCCAAAAATGTAACAGTCATGTCATCTACAATATTTATCTTAGAAAAAAACCTCAATGTTCATGAAACACAAAAATAAGCCTGAAGAATCGTTCCAGGCTAAAGACTAAAGAAACATGACACCTAAACGCATGTCACAATCCTGGGTTGGATCCTGAACCAGAAAAAAAATATTTGTTTGTTACAAAGGACATCACTGGGACAACTGGTAGACCTTGAGTGGCTGTGTGAATGAGAAAACTGGGCTGTCGCGGTGTCGCTTGCTTGACTTTAACAGCAATTGTGGTAAGGGCACATCCTGGCTTTGATTCAAAAAACACACACTGAAGTATTTAGGGGTAAATGGGCATTGTGCCTGCAACTTACTCCTAAATAGTCAAAAAAATTAAAGACCCACACACATATATTTGTATTTGTGTGTGTGTGTAAAAGAGGTGCAGTGGCTCACGCCTATAATCCCAGCACTTTGGGAGGCCGAGGTGAGAGGACTGCCTGAGGCCACAGGTTCGACACCAGTCTGGGCAACTTGGCAAGACCTCATCTCCACATGAAGTCAAAAAATTAGCCAGGCATGGCGGCACATGCCTGTAGTTCCAGCTACTTGGAAGGCTGAGGCAGAAGGATCGCCAGAGCCCAGCAGGTCGAGGCTGCGGTGGCCGGGAGCGGCCACTGCACTTCAGTCTGGGTGACAGAGTGAGACTCCAACTCAAAAAAAAAAGTCAATGTATGGGAAATTGGGGTGAGATACAAGAATTTTTGTATTTTTTTTTTTATGGATATCCTCTGATAGATGCCCTCTGATGGATGTCCAATTTTTACAACTTCTTTGTGAGCTTGAATCTAAAATTATGTCAAAATAAAAAGTTGCAATAGTTTACTTTTAATAGTTAAAATTTTAAAATAAAAGTGTAAAATGAAAATGTTCCCCCAGCAGCACCATGGAATTGACTACAGGGAGCAGGGTGGAAGAAGGGACACCTGGACAGAGAACCCTGGGGTATCTTGGGATACCCTCTCCCCTTCAGAAATCCCCCCTCCTAGGTCTTTTTGTCCCTCTTCCCACAACTGTACCTGGGGGACCCAAGCAGGCGGAAGGTGAGGGTGGGGTCTCTCAGCTCCTGCAGCAGCTGCGGAAAGAGCATGTGCGCATCAGTGCCCAGAACACCCCTCTCACCTCCCCGCAAACAGGACGCCCTCAAAGAGACAAGAGAGGCCTCTGAAGGTCTAGCTTCAGGCCAGGCATGGTGGTTCACACCTGTAACCTGAGCACTTTAGGAGGCTGAGATGGGAGGATCGCTTGAGGCTAGGAGTTCAAGACCAGCCTGGGGAACATAGTGAGACCTTGTCTCTATTAAAAAAAAGAAAAAGAGGCCGGGCTCGGTGGCTCAGACTGTAATCCTGTTTTTTTTTGGGAGCCCGCGGGTTCGAGACCCGCCTGGGCAACTTGGCGAAGACCTCATCTCTACAATAAATCAAAAAAAGTAGTCAGATGTGGTAGCACATGCCTGTAGTTCCAGCTACTTGGAAGGCTGAGGCAGAAGGATCGCCGGAGCCCAGCAGGTCGAGGCTACAGTGGCTGGGAGCAGCCACTGCACTCCAATCTGGGTGACAGAGTGAGACTCCAACTCAGAAAAACAAACAAACAAAGATGTGTTCTCACAGTTCTGGAGCCCAGAAGTGTGAAATCACTATCACTAGGGCAAAAATAAGGTTGAGAGGGCTGTACTCCCTTTGGAGGCTCCTGAGGAGATTTTGTTTTCTGCCTCTTTGAGCTTCTGTTGGCTGCCAGCATTCTTTGGCTGGAGGTTGCATCACTTCAACCGTTGCCTCTATGGTCACATTGCTTTTCTCTTCTTCTGACTGTATTAAATTTCCATCTGCCTTTATTTTATAAGGATATATGGTTTCCTTTAGGGCTCACTCTAATAATCTGGGATAATTTCCCCATCTCAGGGTCTTTAATCCATCCAGAGGTCATTTTTTAAAATATGGTGACGTTTACAGGGTCCAGAGATTAGGACCTGATCTCTTTGGGTGGCCATTAGTCAGTCTACTACAGTCATAAGTACTTATTAAATGTTGGTACCTAACTTCTTAATAAATGGGACTGCTGAGTATTTCTTTTGGCCTATGAATGATATAAGAAGGGCTTGATGACTCTAGAAACTTTGGGAACCTCTGCGTTGTTAGAAGGATATTTCAATAATCCAGGCAGGAAATGATGAGGGCTTGACTATGTGAAAATGGAGAAATGTGTTAGAAGTAGAAGGTTCTTGTTGCAATTTGAAGGTAA